GGGCAATGCTAAAGCTCGCCGAAAGGCCCGAGCCCCGGCCGTACGTCATCGTGATCTCCTGGTCTGGAAATGATGTCATTGGGCGAAACGGGTACATTGAGAACCCCGCCGCCCTAGCGGGCTGGGCCACTGACTCCGAGGCAAAGCGCAAGGCTGCGATGGACATCATCGAACGGAACGCCCGCGCAGTGATGACTGTCCGTGACCGGCTGCGGCATATTGCTTATCGGGAGGACGTGATTCAGGTCGTGCTCATCGTTCCCCGGGACTTTGAGACGTACGGATTGAGCGAATCTTACAAGACTCAAATGGACGGTCATGCACGTCTGTTGCACGGTTCCGCGGGAATCACCGTCCTCGACCCCCAGACTCTCATATCCAACACGTCCCGGGCAGACCGCATCCACACCGATGACACCGAGCGCAACAGAAAACATTACATCAACTTCTATGTGGCCGCCGCGAAGCTCGGGTACAGCATCGGCCAAATCAACCGCTTCGCAGGGGCTATGAACTGGTACCTCCTCGAAAGGGAATACATGAACATCGACACCTCTATTCCCATCGTCGGTGCCACACCCCAGGAGACTGGCGGTCCGGCAATTGCGAAGAACCCCGAGGACCCGTTCGACAACGAGGTCCGCGAGAAGGAGCTTGAAGCAATCAATGAGATTGCTGCGCAAGAGCCGAAGCGCGAAATTTTCCTGGAAGCCGAGAAGGAAGCGAATCCTCTTTATCCTCTCGATACGATAAAGGAGGAGGCGAAAATTTTGCAAATGATGCAGCCCGACATCCACGCGGCGACTGTCAGCGGCCTCAATGACGTCATTGATTGGTCTTCATCTTCCGATGAGGAGGACTTAATCAGCTTTGACCTGCTCCCAGGCTCTCAGCCCAAGGTCAGCCGGCCGAAAGGCCAGGCCGTTGAGGTTGCCGCAGTGGATCCGAACGATGTTGGCGAGGACGGCCAAATCAAGCTGATCCTCACTTCCAAACGGAAAAGTCATAACAAAATGACTGCAGCTCTCAGTGCTGCGACACCAAAGGTGAAATCAAAGGCAATGCCAATGCCTGCTGCCTCATCCAGCGGTCAGGCGCCCGTGGCTGGGACTAGCAAGACTCAGCCCGGAGAGATCCGTGGCCCGGAGAACATCCCCAAGGCGAAGGCAGTTCCCAAAACTGCTTCAAAGCCCGGGGAGACCCGTGGCCAGGCTGCTGAACCCAAGAGGGAGTGGATCAAGTGCTCTGGAATCAAGATTCCCCAGATCCAGAACTATGGCAGAAGAACGTTCCTGAGCAAGAAGGTGTCGTATTTGGTTCGCGGACATGCCCACGAGCATGCGACACGGTCCATCCCTGAGATCAATCTCAAGGACAACTCCTTCGACTATGCAGCCGTTGCCAAGTGGATCCAGCGCCGGTATGACTGGAACTGCTCCCAATACACTCTGCTTCAGGCCACGTCCACATCGAATCGGTTCGAGGTCTATGTCGAGTACGCGCCGGCCGGGCAGCAATGGAACGGGCTCAGTTTCATGCCCCTACGCATTCGCGCGTTCACCGGCCACAACGATTGGGTGACTGAGGCCAGCGGCTTTGACAACATTCCTGGAGATCCCATTGCAATGGATGTCAACTACTCCATCGAGCACGCAAAGAAGGGTGTGCGACCGGGCTTCTGCAAAGATTTCTCGGACGCACGCCGAAAGGCGCTGCCCAAGATCGCCTACCACACGTGCAACATGCAGAACTTCTTTGACATCATCTACATGGGCATCTTCCCGGGTGGCATGGGGGACCGGCAAACCTCGCGTGGTCACGCCTACCTAACGGTGGTGCCTCCTATGGCCGGAAGGCGGGGGGTGCGCGTGCTGACCGACCCATCAACATCGCCGTCGATGTGGAGATGTTGATTCAATTGGGATGTCGGCTGTACGCACCCGGAGACGGGGAAGCCCTGGTGACAGAGGATTGGATCACTAACAAGGTCCTCATCTACGCCTACGACGCTGAGTGCGCCAAGTTTATCTGGTCCAACCGGATGTATGTCAGCGTCAGGCGGAACTACCAGGAGAGCATCAAGAAGTACCGAGAAGAGACCCAGAAAGGCGTCGTCGGTACCCCGGTCCTGGAGTCCTTCATGGCCAACCTCGAGAAGGAATGCAAGGCCTACTGCAAGCAATGGGCTCCAACGGCATGTCGTGACTTGACTCGGCCCCATCGCATCGGCAACATCACGAAAGTCAAGGATGTCGTCGACGAAAATCTTCCAAAGGACGAGCAGGTCATGCTTGAGTTCGAAACGGCTCGCTACGGCCTCTACCGTAATTGGGCCCGTGCTGTGACGAAGCAGCCCGGGGAAACCCGAGGCCGGAGTGGCTTGTGGCAGGAGCTCGACCCCAACCGGAAGAAGGCCACAAACTGGCGGTTTGCCGAAGTGATGCATATTCCTGATGTCGCGTGCGATCGCTGCCAGATTCTCATTCCAGTTGGCACTATCAACTGCTTTCAATGCAGCCAGTTGATGGAACGGATGCCGGACATCAAGAAGATTGCCAGGGTGGTCCGGTTGCAGGAGATGGCCAACTCATTGGGCGTGCCGTTGTCCATGGACCAGGTTGAGACCCAGATCTTGACGCAGCGAAAGGATGCGCGGGGGGATAGAAGCGCAAGAGGGGGCCTCGGCATCATGAAGGACATTGCCAAGAAAGCAGTTCTTCGCAACAAGGAGTACACCACGCTCTACGAGAGGCTGATCAATGACCCCTTTTACGCCTACACTGCCGCGCGGGGAGACCTGACGCCGTCCGCCCTCGAGTTCATCGAGAAAGTGGCACGATGCATCATTCCGAATTTCGTGAGAACCAAGGAGATGATCCAAGGAAGCGTGGCTGTGCCGAAATATCACGCACGGCTAACGCTGGTGCCGCCTACGGAGGATGTGCAGGAGGTCGACCCGAAGGACGTCTACGTTGTGCATGGCGGCAGATTTCTGGAACCAGAACAATTTGCTGCACTTTACGGAAGCCTTGACAAGAGCAACCGCTACAGCGTGATGGGCTGGACCCGGGATTTCTCGTCTGTGGGAGACCCCGAAATGGTTTTGGTGGAGTTGCTCTGCTTCGTCGAAGAGGAGATCCCCAACATCGAGATCCCTGGGCGGGCCACCCCGCTCCCTGCAGTTGTCGGTGTGACGCGCAAGCCCATTCCGCAGCTCCGGGAGACCGGTGGCCAATGGCAGGATCGTCAATGGAGCCAGTCGTACTGGGGCAGTTGGGGCCAGTCCTGGGACTCGTGGTGGTCTGATGATCAGCGCCCGTGGAAGAGCTCCCGCAATTGGGATTGGCGATGAATGAGCGACATCTTCAACTATGTACAGTGCACGTGTACGCCTCGCGAGAGCGACGGTCAGTGGAGGCGGAAGACCTCAGCTGCCGATCGTTCAAACCCAAGTGCATGTGTGCTGCAAAATGACATCATGCCTTTCGGGTTTCGTTGGTTGTCTCATCCCTTTCATTTGTCCTCTTGTTTCACATTCGGGCACGGGGGGTATAGTTTTCAACGTGATGTACTTATCAACCATGTAAACCCCAATGCATGCATGTCTCACTTGTGCAGTCTCATCATCACGACTGCACGTGGCTCAAGGAAAAAGCGCGCTGAGTACAGGGTTCAATTGTGACCCTTCCCGGTTGTTTAACCTGTTCTATAAATAGGAACCCTTTCACGGAAAGTCGCCTTTCAACGGGGGCCTTTGCATCAGCCCATGTTTGTTGGGCGGGAGGGTAAGGTAGCTTTGGAGAAGCCTAAGGGTTCACCGGTTCCGGGCTCTGCCTGGATTTGGGGTTCCATGTTAGTTCGTGGGGGTCCATGTTAGTTCGTGGGGAGCCGTGGCAAGCTGATTGAGGCTAGCGACTTGGAACCATTAAGGATGGCCTTCCAGTGGCATCCCTTAGAAACAGAGATGGGGCACCCCATCTTTAATGAGCATCATATATATCTTCCTCCGCTTTGGCATGTGCCCGCTTTGGCATGGCCAGGGAGCTCTTAGATGCCCGAAATCCTAGGAAGGCCTCACCCTTTTGAGCCAGCATTACTTGAGAAGTGCTTTGTCCCCATTCTGCGGAGTTTATCGCCATTTGGCTGCGTGCCGCACTTTCGGACTTGGGGTTTGGAATGGTCTCGTGGAAGTCGAATGTAGACAACCATTCAAGGCATCAAGGCTGGTGCCATGGCCAACACTTGAGTTGCGACCATATAGGTTGGGGGTTAGCAGAAATTTCTGCGTGCAGTCCCAGGGCCCCTCACTTTGCCTGCGCAACGAAGACCTTGAAGTGAACCCAGTCTCACTCTCCGTGTTGGAGTTGTGGGTTTACCAGCAGCTCGCGGCAAGCACCAAGTTGAGGTTCAACTCATCACACCTGGCTCGAGAGCTCGAGACCTACCACAAATTTCGGGGTTGACAAACCAGTTTTAGTGAAGGTTCCAACAGAACGAAAGAAACTCAAAGTCCTGGCGAGTGAGTTTGCATTTTGGACACCCACTGTGAACTACTACATTCTAGGATATTTTCAGGTAGAATCAAATGACGTGGATCCGTTTTGGGGTCGATTTAGGTCCTTTCATTCCTTTCCACAGCTTATAAATTGGTTACCAGGTTCATGTGTCATTTCACCTGGGATTCGGGATGACACCCGGTCGGTGGGGAACCGCTTCCCCCAGGATATTTCCACAGAAAAGCTCTCCCAGCCGCAAGTGTTGTCGGTTATCTCGGTCCTCAACGCTTGATTTCGACGTTTCACTCAGCTCACTTCCTGAGTTGGACTTTCTCAACTTTTTCGGTTTGGACCAGATAAAAGTGGTAGACGCAAGAAGTTTGGGGAAGACCATTTAAGCTTTTAGACTGGGGAAGACCACTTTAGACAACAAGTTTGGTCACTTTTTCTGCCCCGTCCACAGGAAATGACGTGACACATCTCCACGGAACGATTCTGCCCGAGGCCTCGATGCGCAGCTGTTGGCAGACCTGGACTTGCGGGAGCTCCCACGTAACGTGCCGCACGCCCAGTGGGAGCCCGCTTTTGTGTTGGCAAAACCTGGGTCTAGCCGTTTTTCTTTTTTGTTGTTTGCTTTGCCTTTTTTTGCGGGTGGTTTTCTTTGTGGCTTCCATGTGCGTTTCCGAATATGTGTTTTATTTTGCCTTGTTGGTTGTAAAGGGAACTGTTTGCACTACTGGACATATGTTCTCATTTGTTCTTGGGGGCCTAAGCAAATGGAAGGTTGGTGGTTTACAGGGAAACCAACAGGAAAACCGACTCCTTTTGGGGGGAAAGCAGCAGGAAAACCGACATATGGCTATGGGTCAAAACCATTGGTACCATTCTGGGGTAGGTACCACCCATTTTAGTCTATTTGGGCACGGGTTTAGGGTTTAGGGTTTACGGTTCACTGGGGGTACGGGATTTTGGGTACGGGATTTTGGGTACGGGATTTTGACCCATGGCCATATGTGTTTGTTTTTGTTATGTGTTTGTTTTTGCTGAGGCGGGTTCCCTAAAGAAAGACAACCCCCACATGCAACGAGACAGAAGATCTCCATACATCTGCATTTCCGTGGTTGGTTGTACAGGGATTTCCCGGGACTCAGCGTTTGTTTGAAGAGTTGGGTCCAAGTCCTATTGTGGATGGACAAAATCCACTTCGTACAAGTTGGGATGGATAAAGCCTTACGAATGCTGGGGTTCACCACCAACCAACTGGAGGATTTGTCTATCGGCAGTATGCCCATTGGTGCCATGGTCAAGGCGCCTCGATTCGCATTGCATTAGCTCATGGCCGATTTGATGGGCCTTTCTCCAGACTAGGAGTGATTTACCTTGGGAGTGTAAGTCTGCATGCTAAAGCCATTTGGACCCTGCAGTATGGCTGTATGGCTGTGAGCCCTCGTATCACCGCATGGCTTTTGAAGCTTAAAATGACGTATTCGTAGGTCTGAAAAGGGATGACTTGGTTTGGATTCTGGGCCAAGGATGGATTTAAGCCCAAGAAAGCTGCACACCTGTTTTTTCCCCCAAGGTTCTCTGGGCAACTCTGTTTTTTGGCTAGATTTTGTTGGATCCGAAGGATTTTGATAAAGGTCACAACTTGTCTACCGCAGAATCCCCTTTTGCCCAGGTTAGTGTGAGACCGAGTAGAGTGGGAAACATCAAACGGGCCATGGGGAGCATCTCCATTCTGAAACAAATCCATGTTGGTTCGGACCATATATGTTTTACATTTATATATATATGGATACATATATATATATATATGTATATGTATGTATATTTAGTCTGGTTGAGTGCCGCGTGATTTTTTTGTGTTGTTATGGGCCGACGTCGTCCAGAAAAATGCGTTTATTCATAGAAAACGGCTATAGGCAATTCTGTAGTAAACTGGCCAAATATACAAACAAAAACATATTTCCTCTACAAATGTCCTGTAGCAGGTTTCTACGAAATCTGTTGGACCATGCGTTTTTGGGGTTTCCCAATTGCATGCAACCGGGGCGGTTTCCAAGCGGGCACTCACCGGATGGATCGCCTCGAGGCTGATCCCCACATTGGTGTGCAACGTGACCCTGTCCAAGCAAGGCAAGGAGCATGGGCAGTGGCTCTTTTGCCCAAGGCGAATCGACCTTTTGACTTCCCGAATTTTGTTCATAGCTAGTCGAGGTCCCAAAACGACCTTTGTCCGGGTCGTTTTTGTTGGCCGGTTGTGAATTGGGCCACAAGTCAGGACTTTGTCAGCAGGCAACTCAGCAGGTCAGAAGGATGTCACAGTGGGTCTTCCCTCCCACCCGTTGCTATGCAAATTGTGTTGCAGTCTCCAGTTCCATGTTGGTGGCTGGGAATGGCGCGATCAGGTCGAATCAGGTCGAATGGGAGCACCCCCCCTTACGCCGACGCCCCTCGATTTATCACGGCTTTACCGCTTGTTCAAACCCACCAGAGGGGTTTAAATCGAATCCAAATGGGTAGAAGCAACGGTCCTTTGCCCAACAAACCTTCGCCTCAAACCCCAACCCCATTTCCTTTTGCGCATCTCGTCTCGAGCGCCCGCAAAAAGCTCGTCGCTCGCTAGGCGCAGCGCCGGACACGGTGCTTCTCTGCAAAAGCCGGCAGGCGCAGGCGGTGCTAGCGCCCGCCTGGGGCGCAGGAGCGTGGAGACGACTCGAGGGGATTCGAGACATTGACGCTAAGGATGCGAAAAGGTTGCCCGCACCAGTGTTTTGGATTGAAACAGGCTGGACTTTCCGAATTGGACCCCAAAAAGGGCACCTGGTTCTTTTTGGTATTTTTGCTGTTTTTAGTAACGGATCTTTGGATCTTCAGGGGAGGTCAACAGCAACCAAGCAGTTGGAAAGTCACTATGGGAAGATCACGTTTACCAGGACCTTTGCAACAGTATTTGTTTGATGTCGGGTAGTGGCTATTAGTATTTACCCTCCCACCAGTTAACATGGAACGTGACAGGCGGTCGCGTTAAAAGAAGGAAAATGGTCTTCCAGGACCCCCCCTGTCAGGTTCCATGTTAATTGGTGGGAGGGTATAAAGTTTCCCCCTTCAATTGTATTGGAGGGAGGTCAACAAACAAAAACCCGACTAACTGGGGGTCACAGTGAGTTGGGCCTGCTCCAGGGGCCTCCCAGCAAGTACCTCTTAGGGGGCTTGGTTAGTTTTCCTTAGGGCTGGCCCAGCACTGTTTAGACCTTGTGTTGCATTGGTCTGCCTATTTTATGGCGAGCTCACCTAGGGGTATAGCGAGTTCACCATGATAAAGGTCCTTGACTGGGGGATCCCTTTCAGCTCTTGGAATTATGATGAAGTTTACAGATGGGTTTAGTGTTCCTGTGTATGCTGAGTGTTCCTTTGAGCTGGACCAGTACTCTTTGGAATTTGTTTTGTATTGGTGTGCAGGCTTAGTGTTCCTTAGAGCTGGCACAGTACTCTTAAGAATTGGTTGAGTACTAGTACTGTTTTAGTATTCCTTTGCACTGGCCAGCTTGCTGATCCATTAGCATATATCATTGTCATTTGCCGGGGCTTCCCTGCACCCCCGTGAACATCTGTTTAGGGACTGTTTTGAAGCAGAGTGCTGTGATGAATTGAGCCTCAGTTTGCTTTGCTGGATTAAGGTTGGCCTGGTCGAGTATTGGTTTAGTGGCTTTGGGTGTGCCAGCGCTCAGCAGCAGTATGCACCGAAGAAAGGTTGCTTGTGCTGCCTACCGTGCATAAGCTACCGATTGATGAATCGCTGTTCAACATGTTCAGTTGCCATATGTACTTGCGCCAGTTGGACAATCGCAAATAGCATTCCCTTGTAAAGCAGTGCGTGTGTGTGTGTGGATGCATTTTTTAACAGACCCTGTCGGCCGACAAGTCTGCGGACTGAGACCACGGCTTTCTTTCATGTAAAGGCCCAACAAAGAGTAAGCCCAAGGAGGTATGTTGATCTAAGGGCCCAGGATGTTCCCTTGAAACTGGGGGACATCAACCAATACAGTGGTATTGGGTACGCAAGTGTGCAATATTTAGGGCCATGTATTTTTTTTGGCACATAGTTTCCCTTTGCGTAATCCTTCAGGTTCCCGTCGGGTTCCAATGTGGGATTGGAATTCCTGCACCAAGCAAACTGAGTATATCATCACGAGCTCACCGGGAGGGGGGAAGCAAGCTCCAAGATGAAGCTCCATAGATGTTGAGGCGTTTGAGGCGAGAGCAGCTGTCAAAATTGAAAGCAAATTTGTTTAAGGCATGGAGAAGGGTGGTTCCCCAAATTGGAACACACCGTCATGGAGGTTCTGACCGAATACCCAGTCTATGTTATTATTTTTGTTTTTTTGTTTGTTTGTTTTTGGGGGGGCTTACCAAACTTTCAACCAACAACACGGAGACTCACCAAGCTTCGCGATGTTTGTCAGTAATCATACATCTTGCCTGGTAGTTCAAGCATGAATCAACCACTTCCCCCTTGATGAGTTTAGAGGTTATTGTCTTGTGCCAAAGGGTCCATTCCGCAACCACCACGGTAAAGAGAGATATCGATCCCCGCCGCAGTTTCACAGCCCTTTTCTCTTCGAGGGAGTAGTGGTTATGTTATTTCTACGGGCACCGTTGTGTGGGAACAATGGAAAGTATCTTGGGATCAAAGGATTCAACCCCGTCCTAGTTTTTGGGCTTGAAGAAGGTCTTGTTAGGGTCATGTTTTTCAAGGAGCAGGGGAGGAGGTTGGATCCTGTGACCAGACATGACCAGACCTTGGTTGCGGCTACGTCCTAAGAGGTTCTTTCCAGTTTGCTCGCAGGAGGTGCTCTCCGAGCTGAGGGCAAGCGTTTTGGTGGCAAACGCGGGTACCTGGGAGGCTTACATTGTGCTTTATGGGTATCAAAGGGATTTTCCCCTACCCCAAACCCATTAAGCACCAGGGCAAACAGGGATTCGCAGGCATCAAACGAATGAGCATATGTATGCATTTGCAATTTTACATACCCTTTGATAACTCTGTGTAGACAATTGTCCATGATGGGAGTAGCGCCAATACTGGCAAAAAGTGCTCCCAAGGCGAGGCAGCCAAAGAGGAGCGAAGTATATATATATATATACGTATTTGCATTCATATGTGCAGGGACAGGCGTGTTTATGTCACAGGAGACCTTTATTTTTCTTCGGAGTTGGCAGGCGCTATGCCAATGTTCAATGACTCTCCGTTTGAGGCAGAAACATATACGCCCATATTTAGACTTATAAGTTTACGGATATGCAGGGTGGCCCCTTTGTTAGTTGAGTGAGGTGGGCTGTCTTGTGGGATGTGAGCGCTACCTTGATGAGCTTGCCCCCTGTTGAGGTATTTTGCTGTTACGTAGAATGGGGGTAAGTATAATTCTTAGTATGAGCGTTCTTGATTTTGCACCGGCTGATGTTTTCTGTTATTTTCAATTTGCTTAAGCTGATATTCTGAAGTGTTTGTGGCTTCCTGTTGCTTCCAAAGCGAATGGCAAGCATGTGTTGATGCGTAGTGGCACCGCAAGCGCAAATGGAAGTGCTGGTTTCACCACCATCGCTGATCAGCAGTAGGCCCATTTCAGAAGGTGCGCTGAGGACGGGGATAGGCATCAAAAAAAACTTATTGGGGACAAAATAAAACTTACTAGGGATCAATAAAAAACTTATTAGGGATCAACAAATAACTTCTTCTCATTCCTATGGAGAGAAGGAAGGAAGGACGGACGGACAGAAGGACGGAAGGACGGAAGGCAGGAAGGAAGGAGAAAGGAATCAAGCAAGGAAGGAGGGAAGGAAGGAAGGAATGCCAGGAAGAAAGGAAGGAAGGAAGGAATAGCTGAAGTAAAGGATGGAAACTTGAAACATTTTGAGAGGTTCTCGATATCAGTTTCGGAAATCGGCGGATGCATATTTGTTGAATCATCATTCGATCATCATGGAAGGGGCTGCCACCATTCCCTACCCCCTCGCTGATTTTTAGAAAGCTTGCAGAGATTACGCACCCTTGTTGAATCATCACTTGTTCGACCATCATGCGGGGGCCTGCTGCCCCCGCCCACCCCCCCTCCCCCGGCTGGTTTTTTAGAATGTTTACAGCCCTTTGTTGAGTCATCACTTCTTCCGTCATCATGGGGCGGGGGCTGCCCCCCCCCCCCCAACCCCCAGTTGACTTTTAGAATTTTTACGGAGATTGCCGCACCTTTTGGTGAGTCAGCACTTCTTCGAACATCATGGGGGGGGCTGCCGCCCCCCGCCAACCCCCCCGCTGGTTTTCAGAATGTTTGCAGAGATTAGCGCACCCTTTGTCGAATCATCACATCTTCGATCTTTCTTTGCTTTCTTTCTTTCGTTCTGTCTTTCTTTCTTTCTCTTTCTTTCTTTATTTCTTGCTCTCTCTGTCTCTCTTTTTCCCTCTTTCTCTGCATGTTTGTTTCTCTTTATCTTTCTCTTGCGAAACTGCTGCGCCTGCCACAAAACCTGTACCGTGCCTTGCGAAAGTGCTGCGCCTGCCACAAAACCTGTACCTTACCTTTCGAACCTGTCACGAAATGAAGATGAAGAAGTGTTTTGCTTCCTGACAATCATTTTTAGTAGTATATCTAAGAGAAGAAGGTTGTTTTATCCCTAAAAAGTTGTGTTTGATCTTCCGGAATAAGTTTGTTTTATGCCTGAAAAGTTTGTTTTGATCCCTCACCTCTGAGGCCTGGGCCCATTGATCATGGAAGCAAGGCTGTTTACCCAGCATTACAAAAAGAATGCGCGGAAAGCATGAATTCAGAAAGGGTACATGGGTATGCGTTTGGGGAGTACCAGAGGTATCGAGTTTTACATGGTGGAGCAAACAAAAGGGGACCTGCCGCTAAAATGGCTTGTGCCTTTAGAACCTTTTTCAGGTTGGTGTAACAGGGAACCAAAAGAACCTGCCTTTGGACGCATAATTAGCGTGGTACCTGTGAAGAAACCGCTATTTTTAGAGGTACTTCGTTTTGGCAGGGCCCTCTTTTTGGGGCCTCCGTCCGCAAAAAACACGCCTGCGGCGGGCGTCCTTTTCGTCTCAGGTTTGCCTCGGTGTGTGCGGGGTCCGTCAGCTTCGCAGTGACCATCCGGGGGGCGGTCCACAGCTGGGGGCCTCAAGTGCCTTGGTTCCATGGCGGGTTGCCAGGTGCCCCGAGGTTGCCACGGAATCTGACTGGTTTGGACCAGGCTCCTGTAAAGTCTAGGGGTAACTTGCCCATTCTTTCCAGGGATCCTTAAACAAAAAACTGGGAAAATGCCTGGTTCTTGAAAAGAACGACGGCTGAAAAGAATGGGGAATCAACCCCTAGGCCTAGATAAATGGGACCCTCTGATGGGGTCCATGCAAATAAATGGGAGGGTATCTGGCTTGGGGCCATTTAGATGGACTCCCCTGAAACCAACCCTTGGAAGTTGGGATCGTTTTTAAGTTGGGGACCCATTGAGCAAAAAGGTGTTCACATGTCTAGGTCCTCACACACACACACACACGCACTTCGTGTGGGCGGCGGTGAAGAGTCTCAGGAAAATGCAGTGAAACGCCAGGTCATCGTGATTTCTTGCTCGGGACCAATCAACCTGGACACTTCGAAAGCCGACTGGCTCAGTTTCTACAGTTGCCTGTCTTCAGCTCCCGTTTTTGCTGACCCCATTTGCCTCAACCCAATCCGTCGCGTTTGGAAGGGAACACTTCCCTTATGAAGAAACTGGGGTTGACTAATAATTAAACGCGTTCACTTGAGTTTCTTGAGCTCCCGTTCTCCCAGTTCTTCCGCCCAGGAAGTGCTCCTGGCGCGCGGCTCCGGGTCCTCCGGGCCCTCGAGTTCCCCCAGCCTCGCGAAGACGACGCCTTCGATCCTTGCGGCGCCGGTGCCGACCTTCCTGCGCCTCGCGGTGTGCGTCACGAGCATCAGCCTAGGCGCCGGGCCAGTCGGCCGACAAATCTAAACAGGGGTGGTCTCCTAGCCCAGTGGTTTAGCGCCTTGGCCTCCCAACGATTGTTCATCCCTTTGGCTCCCTGGAGGATTCCACCCTAATCAGTTTTGGTTTGTTGGCTTCCCACACTCATGGGTTTCCCATCGGGGATTCCCAAGAGTTTCCGCCAGATGGTCAAAGCATCACCTCAGATTTCCCTTGGACTACAAAGCTTCATCTCATCCCAAATTAAATAGGCAGAGAGCAGGTGTGATGCGAACCCTACCATGGACCCTAGATTCCCTTAAGAGGAATATTTTGTTTCCCATTCACCCTCAGCCCTATGTCTCGCTTGTCCGGTAGTTTGTCCAGCGGAATGTAAGGAGGCATGCTTGCCCAACCCGCATCACAGATTAACCCGCATCCACAGATTTTGGTGATTAGTATGATTAGTTTGGAGACCCTTCCAAGTCCGAGCCATGGTCAAAGCATTCTTTGACCGAATACCGAGTCACATGCGAATCATTTAGGAGCCATCTCCAAAGTGGCTTGACAACCCCTTCAGGTTTCGGGAACCATGACAATATGAGTTTGTCGCGAGAAAAGGAATTCCGCAAAATGAGTGGTCTGTTGTTTGGAACCCTCAAAATGAGTGGTTAATTGTTTGGTTCCCTTTACACCAAGCCCCCCCCCCCAAACAAAGGGTACGCTCGAACGTGTTTCCAGGCGAGGAGCACGTCGTAGCGCTCACCGCCCACGGCCACGGCCGGGTTTTCACTTGGGGCCGGCCGCTGGGCGGATGTGGCATACATACGCCGGGGGGTATGGCGAGTGCTGAAGCGGCAGGGGTTCTCACTTCCTGAGTTCCTGGACTTTGGTCACTTCTTGGGCTTGGACCATTTTAGTGGTAAAACTAGAAGACGGGTGGCCCGAAAGCATTTTCCATGACGCGCGGCGTGAATCGGTCCATTTTTTCAACTATGTATTTCACTGTCTACTTTGTGCGCCTCTATGCACTTCACTCTGTGCTTGCGCTATGCATGCCTCGCTCTTCACTCTGTCCACTTTCCCTGTGCATGCCTCTATGCAGTTCACCGTCTACTTTCCCTGCGCATGCCTCTATGCATTTCACTGTCTACTTTCCCTATGCATGCCTCTATGCATTTCACTCTGTACTTGCCCTATGCATTTTACTGTGCACTTTCCTTATGCATGCCAGTGGTGAGAATCCAGAGGGCCCGCCGACGATAGACCCGCCCACAGGTCCGTCGGGTCCATCCACTTTGAATGTCTTCTCGTCCAAAAACCAAAACTCCCTCTATGGCCCTATGCAGTTGAACTGTGCAGAACGCAACGACTTTTCCGGAAGAACCCTTCGCAATGCTTTCGGAAAAAAGAGTTTGGACTTTTTGGCCCATGTTTAGTCATGGCGCCAAAAGGTTAACCTTGTATTTCTGGGTCCGTTGGGCAACTGAGGCAACACTAGTTTGACTATAAGCCAGGTGTTCTGTTGTCCTAGTGTTTGTGTCCAGCCGGAGCTGCTGTTGCTTGCGCAGACCTCCCAACAACAAGTAGGCATTGCGAGCACAAGATCTGACCATTTCATGGCAAGCTCACCTGGCGACACAACAGGCTCATCATGATGTTGTTCCTTTACTTGGGGATGCCTCATTCCATGCGTGAGATTTACTGTAAAGCTTGCAGATGAAACGGTGTGGGTCAAAGCCGCCTCTTGACCCATCCGAGGATGGAGGCATGCACCAGCCTGCCGCTCAGGAGTCGAGATGCCAAGAAATCAAGCCGCCACTTTGTGTCCCTTTAGGCCGGTTGCGTAGGCGCGGAACCCAGGAAACCATGATTCATCCCGTTGCGTTGCCTTGAATTGTTGCTCTTTTTTTCCTTTGTGTTCGGTTCCTGTTTCTTCGACACCTTTTTTGTTTTACGACATCTCTTGCGCTACAACAGCGGACTGGCGTGATCGCAACGGCCGCGTGAATAAAAAAAAGTAGCGTTGCCTTGAATTGTTTGTTTGCTGGGTGCGAACTAGCCATTCTTTGTTTCTCAAGTGGAACGAGAGGATTGATTTGCTTTTCCCAGACCCCCACGTTGGACAGGCATAGCCCAAACTCCCGACTCCCCCCTCCACCCACCCTATTTCGCATCTAGCTCGCATGATGCCGAAAATCGGGTAGTTGGCTGCCACGTGTGCACCCAAGGCTTATTACGCATGCTGGGAAGACTGCCAACCCGCATCGCAACCCGAGCAATCCAACACCCTGAATCAATCCTAGCTTGAGCAAAAAGAACCCTTACCCACGCTTTCCCAGCTGAATCAACATGAATCAACCCTAAACCAAGTCTAAACCAGCACTAATCCAACCCTAAACCAACCCTAAAACCACCCCAAAACCAACATGACAAGTTTCAACCGGGGAGCACATGAGGCACCGAGCGCTTTCAGCAGCGCTCCATCCCGCAGCCTCTCTGTGTGGAGGGCCCACTTCGGGGCTTGAAGATCAGCAAGGCACCACCGAGAGATGCGAAGAGTTAGCCTTCCTGAAGTCACGCTTGGCTGCTTCCACATGCTCAAAAATATTTGGCCATGGGGCATAACCTATGGCTCCATTTTGGGGTGGTTGATGTTCACCAGGGGTACAGGTACAGTGTTTTGACCCACAGCCATATATGTTTTATGTAAAGGGAATCTATCACTACTGGGCATGTCTTTGTTTTGTTTTCTAGAGGGCTTAAGCAAATGGAGGTTTGCCAAATTGAAAGCAACATGCACCAGCTGTTGCGAGGGACCGTCCCCTCGTTTAGTTGGGACCTGATTTCTGGGAAAAGGTGGTTGGGCAGGGTGCCCTTGGACGAGTTTCCATGTGGTTGGTGGGACCAATGAGTCCATTTGCCATCTACCTCAGAGCTCCTTTGCTTGTGATTTCAGAGCCATAGGAGCCGTTGCAACCCAAGAGCATTAATTTCTGCCTAGTTTATAGCGAGCTTACCATGGCAAAGCTCCTTTACTTGGAGATCAAATTCTTAATTCAGCTTTTGAAACAATCAATTTATTGCAGGAACGCCAGGACCTTTCCATGGCTCCCATGCGGCTCAGCATGTCAGCCAAAATGGGAATCGGGCCCAATATTTTTTCCCTTGAGGTGTCCTTTTGGGGTCCTTCCGTCTTGCTTATAAGATGGCCGGTTTCTGTTGGAGCCTTGCTTGAACCCCGATTCCAACCAAAGTCGCCGCCCTCTTATTGAAGTTTATAGCGTCGGAGACGACCCCCCACCTTTCCCAAAGGCACCCCGAAGTGTTGAGGTTTTTGGCCGTTTAGACGCTCTTGGGCTCGCTCGGCTGAGTTCTTTGGAGTGAATCATTTGTTTTGCTCTTGGCCAGTTGATCAGTCATGGCACCCCCAAAAGTGATCACCACTGTTTTCCAGTTTGAGCAAGTGAGCTGTTTCAGCCCATGCTCATTGGGGGTTTGTCTTGTTTGCTGAGTGCCAAACGTCCACTAAATAGCTCAACAAACATGCTTGCCTTGAAGGAAACGACCAGAACAAGTTGTTTTCTTTGTTTTCTTGGCTATGTTCTTAGATGTTTAGGGGTTGGTGGATAAGTTCCATTTAAACCCACTAAAGGTTCAGCTTTCAGCAGGGGAGCTGAGAACAACCCAGTGTTGTCCAGCCCTTGCATTTTAGTTGGTCTTTGTTCTGCAGGTGCTGGCCGGGCGAATCTCCAGCATCGTGGCGATCCAGGACGCCGATGGCTCAGAAGTGGGCTCTGCGCTGGATGTTGGAGGCATAAAATGAGTTGGGTGAGTGCCAGATCTTGGATGCATCTGGAGCATACAAAATTCCACTTTTATCAGCTGGGTCAAAGCTCTTTTCTCCGTGCACTGGGTGCATTTGGGTGCAACCCCTAGTTGCAAGACTTTGCAGGGAAGTTGCAGGTTTGGCGAGGCGTCACAGACATGGCTTGGAGACTAGTTGAATGTTTGCAGAAAACGCAACACTCCCTTGACGTTTAAAGAAAAATAGAGTTCAGAGGGATTTATGACGTATCTTTGGCCCTCTAGCTTCAAGCCTCCCAGTAGTCCGGACCTCCAGCTTTCCGGCGCTGCTTCCCCGCTTGATGCCTGGGCAACCCCAAACAAAGCGCAGGTCGATAAGATGTTCCCCGCGGTGCAAATGCAGCTGGTGCCCACAATTCAAGCCCCACATTCGACCATCACGGTGTGCAATGGTTCGGCTCGGTTCCACGGTTTTCGGTTTTGTTGCCAGCTGGTGCACCTGAAACCTGCGCGCCTTTGGAGAACTACCCACTGACTGTAGAGAACTCGAGGGGGCGTCAACACAGAAACTCAGGTGCGTATAGGTACACACACATATTTACATATATATATATATGTATATATATATATATACACATATGTATATATATATATACATGGTATGCTCCGTTTCATACGTATATATGTATACATGCACACAAGCTGAAATTTGTACACATTTGCATTGACTTGGCAAGGTTGCTGCAACGAGTGTTTATGCAGGGTGGACTGACTCCTCCAAGCTGGCTTTCTTGGCTTCATGAACCTGCTGAGTTTGCCATTAGAAGGGGTGTGTTTCACTTTTTTAATGGAGCAACTTTTTGACGAAGGTCCGCGACATGCCGCATGGGGAAGGAAACCTGCGTTGTCACAGTTTCGCCCATGGCAGCATTGAGTTGCGTGTTGATGTGCGTGAAATTTTGTTGGTCCAACGACTTCTTCGAAGCTCCCTCACGGAAATGGACATCGGACGCTTGGAGAAAACTCCCTTGCAAGATCTTGGGCTGGCTAGGTGTCCCTAAACAGGCGTGCCCCAAAGTTTCCGGGTCCGGAAAGAGAGAACCATTCAGAAAAGGACCGCTTATTAAGGAAGACGCCTATGGCAGTTTCCACGGGTCTCAAGTCGTCAGGGGATTTGAGGTGTTGTTGCTTTGCGTATACTTTGTGGTGAAGTTTCACAGCACCACCATTTCCACGGTTTCAACACGAAACCCAGAAATGGGTATGGGTCAAAATTAAACCACTAGGGGACCGCAGGTTTTAGTCTATGTGTCCATTTGCCAGGATTCCATGTTGGGTACATTTTTTGGACCCATGGCCCACAGCCAAGTTAAATCCAACCCTTCGCTGCAGAAAGTGGCGGTGCTTAAGGCAGAGACGCTCCTGGGTTGGGACATGGTCGAGCTGCTGACCATCCAAGGGATGCTTGGCTTGGCGATGGAGTCGAAGCAGCTTTGTTTCGCTCTTTTTTGTTTGGCACTTCAGCAATTTGCCCCCCCCCCCCCCCCTCCCCGCAAATTCCTCCCCCCCCCCCCCAAATGATTACGTAGCGTGGCTTTATGTAAGGAGTTAATTATGCCGAAAGTTCCGACGTGGGCATGCCTCATGTTTTGGGGCTGGTTGAACGAGAAACCAACGAGCATCCGTTTTTGACGGCCCCTTTGTTGTTTGCCAAGCCCGTGTTTTCTTTAAAGGCCTGTGTTCAGCCAACGCTCACATGTTGGACAGGCAGATTGAGTGCCTTGCTTTGAGCACAGCGGGGTTGCTGCTCGCATGTCTGTCGGGCTCCCTCTTTCGAAGAATCACAGCTGACCGAGGGTTTTGGGAAGGCCAACGGCCGCCTTTTTGGGAACCAACCCGTCCACTTCCAGAATTGTTTGCATGTTTGGCTTTTGTGCACACTTGAGCCGTTTTACTGGCCCTGGCCGGAGTTTTGCTGGTGTTGACTGTAGTGTTGACTACATGTTGGAAAGAGGATTGTTTTTTGAACAGGGGTAAAAGTAGATGGCAGAATTCCCTTTCTGTAAAGGAGATGAGCAAGTTGTGCCATCGGCTGGCCACGAGCGGCAGCTTCACTCAGGAAGTGTCAGCTGGACCCGGCCATTTACGAGTTCGTGCCGCAAGCGCCAGGCGATGCCAAAGTGAAGCCACGTGCCGTGCTGTATTTCAGGGACCCTGAGCCTCAAGTTTGACCAAATGGGTGGTTTTCCTGCTGGTTTTCCTCTGAAAACAATATGGTTACCAACTCCAAACAAAGACACACCCGCGTGCAGGGATTCTCAAAAGTACAATTGGGGCTTGTTTCTCGTACGGCCATTTAGAGGTAGCTTGGAGGATTTCACTTTCGTGAACCCGCAATTCTTCCCAAGCGTTTCACAGTTCAGTGGATTCCGCACTTTCGGTTTTGGGTATATCCCCGCTGACCAGGCATGAACGTCTCTGATTTCCGATATTGCCTCTATTGTCGCGGTGATGCTGATCCAGCTTTATGTTCGTCTTTGTGCTGTGAACATCCCCAATTGAGCGGTGTTTTTTGGTCGCAAGCTAATTTAGTAGGGAGAGGGACATCATTATTGAAAATGTCACCGCGCCACACGCGCGGAAGCATGCGGAAGGTTCGCGGAAGGGATTTGTTCGCGGAAGGTTTGCGGAAGCTTTGTGGCTGATGTACAACTAGACGTTTCAGTGCGTGCATGGAGAAGCTCGGAGAAACGATTACAGTAGAAGAAAAGGTGAACGCTTACCCGAAGAGCAGTTGCCAACAGTAAGCCAAGAAGGCCAAAACAGCCGGCGTATTTCGCGGAAGGTTTGCGGAAGCTCCGCGGAAGGTTGGCCCCGTGTTTGCAGGCAAGTGGCCACGTAGCATGGGTAGCCCAATGGAGCCCAAGCCTACACAAGCTGCGGCGAAACACTACCTCACTTAAAATGACATTCCTTTCTGCGCCAATACTCGCGGAAGGTTTGCGGAAGCAAACAATGACACACATGTGCCGCGGAAGTTCGCGGACGGGACCTCTTGGCCGGCGGCAAGGATGCGGAAGGGTCCGCGGAAGCTTGAATAATGTCCAAGCAAAGGGAATAAACACCAACGCTCAATTGTTTTGTGTTGATTGTCAAGTGGAAAGCAGGAGGGCCAACAAACTTTTCCGGCCAGGGCAAATCATTGGCCGAATGTATGAACATATATTCACTTCAGAGGATACTACGGTTTTTGTTGTTGGGGGGGGGTGCTGAAGGCAAACCACAGGGAATCCATCAATTGTTTGGTCGGTCGGTTGGTTGGTTGGTGGGTGTGTGGGTTGGTTGGTTGGTGGGTGTGTGGGTTGGTTGGTTGCGGTTGCGGTTGCGGTTGCGGTTGCGGTTGCTTGAAAGCGGACAGCCAAACTTCCCGGCTTCTTTCAGCATTCCTGGAAGAGGGATGCTCCTCAAATGCTCGACAACCCCAAGATTCGTGTGGCTTCTCAAAAGGGCTATGGCTGAAAAGAAAGGGGTCGACCTTGAATTGTTCATACATCCATTGCCCCATTGGCAGATGTGCTTTCATTTCGACCGCTGGGTCTGGGTGGCAAAGTATATGCGAACCGCTGGGAAGAAGCTGTCACCAAAAACTGGCAAAAGGCGCGTCAAAGTCTATGCTTGATGGCAAATCAGCACACTTAGGGCCCAAGGCTCAACCTTCCAGAACCCAGCCCCTCGATGGAGGGCCTCGAAGATTTGCTGGGGCTCCTCCCGCCAGAGCTGAAGGAGCCATCCGAGGACCCGCTGATTACAGGCATGGCCAGGGCGGCTGAGGCGGCGAAGCAGCGACGGGAGGCCTCCCGCGCGCGCTGGGAGGAGGCGTGCCCAGATCACCAGAAGCTCAGTTGTTCAAAGCTGGTTTTCCAATGTTGGTTCCAAATGTCATATACTGTGAGCTCTTAAAAAAGAGAGAAGAAAAACACATGTTCAGTTGTGAACAAACCGGCCTTTTGACCTTTTGGTTGTCCGATGTTTGTCCATATTCAGTCCTAGACCCAAAAGGTTATCCTTCTGGTTCCAGGTCTTTTGGGCAACTGAGGAAGTGGCTCACCGAGAAGAGCTGGAGGAAGCAGGTGCGCAAGAAGAAGGAGGAGGAGCGGCGCCGGCTCGCCAAGGAGGCGGCCGCCGAAGCCCGGCGCGCCGAAGAAGCGCGCGCCCTGCGGGCCAAGGCCCCCGTGCTGAGCCCGGCGGAGCAGGCGCTGCAAGAGGCGAAGCGAGCGGCGGAAGCCGCGAAGCGAGCGGCGGAAGCCGAGTGGCTGGAGAACCAGTGGCAGCCTCAGCTGCTGCGACGGCAAGAGGAAGCGCGTGCCCAGCGGCTTGAAGCCGAGGCATGGGAACGCCAGAAAAAGCGAGCGGAAGAAGACCGGCAGCAGTACGAGCAGAATGGCATGGCTACAGAGGATGCCAGAGGTCGACAGCATATGGCTGATTTGGCAAGGGAGTGCGAGCGACTCTGCGAAAGGGCGAAAACTCCTCGAGTCGCCAGCTCCATCGCCAGAAAGATCGAGCTTGTCCTGGAGATGCGGGGCTTAGAAATTCGCTGGAAGCAGAACCTCCGTCCAAAGATCCACCTGTTCTCGCCGTTTTTGTTTTTGCTCCCACGTTGGGTGTTCCCCTTTGTGGCGAAGAAGGTTCCCTTCCACTTGCTTAAGAATATGCTTGTTTATTTTCCCTTGTTTGTTTTAAAGGGAATCGATCACTGCTGGATTTTGTTGCTATAATTTTCCCAAGGGGGCAATAAAGCAACGGGAAGCATTTGTTTCAGGGAGTCTATCATGGCGTTTGTCAGATTTGTTAGGGGGTCCTTCCATGTGTGTTCGGTTGCTCCCCGTTGTTCTCACTTTTCCCAGGGGCAAAAAGCAAATGGAAGAATTTTGAGAGACACCCTCACGAAATCTTGCTCAATTCACGCAGGAGCTGTTTTTCTCCGCCATGTTGGGTTTCCCCCTTTTTCGTGGCAACAGGTTCCTGTTTTTTTTTGAGACCGGGTGTTGGTGGGGATGTTATTTTCACGAAACCATCGTATTCGCGGTGTTTTCGGAGCTTTGCAGCGCTAAAACTACACCTTTCTTTTGTTTTTTTTTGTTTCCGGGTCCGGTTCCTTGCAGCGAGGAACCTGGAGAAGCGGCGCTTGGAGGAGCAGGCGGCGCTGCTGGCGCTCCAAAACGAGCGCAGGGAGCGGGACTACCGCGAGTGGCGGGGCGAGGTCCAGGAGGAGCGGCTCAGGCGACGACGACTCGTGGCCAGGGAAGAGCAACGGGACAAGGAGCTGCAAGAGTGGAAGCCGGAAGCCGCAAGAAAGCTCACCCCTTCTCACTTTTTGTTTGTTGCTTTTTTTGTGTTTCTTTCGCTTGGGCTTTGTATTGATTTAGTTTGAGGGTCCAGGTATACAATGCTATTATCTGCAGTTATATATGTGTGTGTGTATGTTATCCACGGCCCTGAGTCGTTCCGTTTTCCCTGTCTTGGGGTCCAAGAAATGTCGTGTCCGAGGAAGCGCTTGGAGCTGTTGGGCCGCGACGTGTTGCGGGAGGAGGAGCTGAAGCAGCAGTCGCTGCTGGAGGAGGCCATGGAGAAGTCAAGTCGCCAGAAGCAGCAGCTGGAGGCGCAAGGAATTTCCCCACAGCGAGTGCTGGAAGAAGCACCTCACCGGGTCTTGGTTTTTTTTTGGGCGGTTTCCAATTTGAGGGTTCTAAAAGGCAATTGTGAGTTCAACACCTACCCACGTTTTGTTGGCTGTAAGCCAAACCAATGTACATATTTATGCAGGTGTCCACTTCTTTTGATCAGGAAAGGTTCCAAAAGGTGAGAAAACCACACCTACTGGTTGGGGGCTCCCAAAAGGTGACAATTCCACCTGCCTTTTTTGTTGTCAGTTCAAACCCGACCTACATGTTTGGGATTTCCCAATTTTGGGTCAGTAGGCAATTGGTGTTCAAACTCGGTTTGCTAAGCAGGGGCTTGGGCCAACCAACTCATTTGTGAACCAAACCGACCTTTGGGTCCTAGGTTAAAAGGTTCCAAAAAAGTGATCAAATATGTCTATGTGTTGTCAGCCGAACTGACCCCAAGATTGGGTTTCCTCCCCAAATGGTGAGAGCACCTGAAATATTTCTGGGTCTCGGCAAGTGAGGCACAGAAGCTGGCAGAGAAGCAGCGGAAGATTGCCGACGAAGTGGGGCCCAAGCAGGCTGAGCAGGAGTTGTGGGAGGCTTTGCTCGCAAAGAACCGAATGGCACGCACAGATCGAGATCCTAAGACTCCCCGATGGGGATTCTTTGCAGAAAGATGCTGAGGAACTTCTCCGGAAGTATAAGAGTTGAGGGTCACATGATGTTTTCGCCGACTTCTGCCCTGGCAAAATGCTAGGGCCGGAGTCTTTGGTGGCCTTATTGCAATGGCAATATGCCTTCACACTTGTCTCACCGCGGAAAATCCAACAAGACCCTTTCAGCGCCGTGCGGGGCCTGGCACAAGCATCGACTAGGGGGGATGTCTTCGTGTACACAGCCCACTTCGAGCCCTTTCCGGAAAGCCTCTTTCCAATCGAGCCAACGACCATCTTTAAATGCGTACTGGTCCATGTCCATGATTGGAAAGGGGGTACCCTTTCGGAGTTTGGTGAGAACCCGTTTAAGAGGCTAAGCAATGATTTGGCTCGAAGGCATGTCAAGCTTAGGTGCCCATTCGTTTCCTTCGATCTCTCGTCCAAATGGGGGGTTCAGATATACTCTGTTGTTGGAAGGATCGAATTCGACAGGTGGCTTAATTCGTCCTCGCCTCTCGTTGAAATTCATGATCCAAAGGACATGCATCTCCAATCACAGTCCCTGCCCCTTCTATAAGTGATATATGGGTGGACCCCCGAAAATGCTGGTTTTCCTTATGGTTTTCCATTTAAAACACAAAAGAGGTACCGTCAAAAGAGACACACCCTTATAGCCTCCGCACCTCCCAACCCAGCTCAACATGGCCCCATCCATGCGCTCCTTTGGGGCTCTGCCGGGCCAATGTCCATTCTCCTAGGCTTGGTAAACATTCTCGCTTCGCTACAAGTCTGGGGGTAGATTTAGGATGCGTCTGATATTTTGACTGGAAAAGGAAGCAAACAATAGCCGTCTTCTTTAAGCAAGAGGGCCTAATTCCAATCATGTGCTAGAGTTTTGGATAGTTAAAGGCCGCTCACTGGCTTTGAAAAAAAAGCAATTGATCAATGTTGGCGGGCACTGTTTCACTGTCACGGGCTTTTAGCTTGGTTGTGCATTGTGAAAGTTGAGTTGGCATTTGGGGCGCTGCTTTTGTGGGTTGCTTCGTGCGTTGCCCAAAAGCCGTTGGGGAGGTAGCGCGGCAACGCCAAAGACGCCGAAGACTCCGAAGACTCCGAAGACTCCGAAGACCACCCCGACCAGCCAGTCGATTCATGGCTCGATGCAGGTGTCATGCGCCTTTGTGAGGGCAACCTTCTTGGGGCCGATTCAAAGAATAAACCATCTTGGGGGTTCCCTATCTTGAGATATATTCAAATGGTAACATATATCTATATATATATATATACATATATGTGTCAGTCGCTGGGCCCCTGGAGGCTGTGGGATGGGGTCGGGCTTTTTTAGTTTCTTGGCGTTGCCCGTAAGTCTATGGTAAACTTGCAACCCCGAAGCCCTTGGGAGAGTCGACCGCCTACGGTTCTGCGAGCCCGCTATCTCCCAACCAGCCACTGGTCCCCTTTAGTTGAAGGGAAGCCAAGAAGAGAAGTTGTTTCAAGGGTACTTGTTCGGGCTCAGTCTCTTGATGCCTCCAATCCTTATCCTCGACGACTTTCTGGTACTTACCCGGCTGTGGGCCGCTCACCATGAGCGCCAGAAGCTTTTCAGCGGAACTGGCGACGCGTCGAAGCTAGACCCCACGAAAAGCCTAACACCGGCCAGCGGGTTGACGAGCCCAGCTGGAGATCAACTGATATCCGCAACAAACATGGAGGTCAGTCCCTATTGACCAAGTAGGGGCTGAACTAATCAACTGCGATCCCATGAAATTGTCAGAGGGGATCCCGTAGACCCCTTCAGCTGAATTCACCCGGTAGTGTTGGGGGTCGATGGGATCCAACTACATCTCCAGGCCAGTTCCAGTTCGAGGTTCCGCTTGGAATCTGCTGGGGAAATATTTGATTGGCTGGCACTTTCACCTTGGTGGCTAAACGAAAACGAAGGCCTGCCGTATGTTTGCCCGCAAAACACGGCTGACCCCAAAAGTTGGTCACATCCCTTTCTAGGGATGCGATGTAGACAAGGAGGACATGATGAACGCATCACATTTCCAAGTGAGGTTGCAAATAGATACATGAAAAACCAGGATTTTGATTAGAATGTCAAAACAGTTTTGTGAGCGTTTCAAGAATGGCTGCGAGGGCTCGCGCAATGGAAAAGTACTTCTCCCACAGACCAACAAACAATGGGAACACAGTTGATGAGTAGTTCGCTGATTCACGACTAGGGGTACGCACTTTATGTGTGGCGGAGGCTATTTGTCTCCTTACATCGGACTTAAGACGGAATCCACCCTCCCACCAATTAGTATGGAACCTGACGTTCGGGACCCGGTCCCTTTGAGAGGGAAGATGTCCAAACCAGGAGCCCCAAAAAGAACGTCGGGTTCGGTGGGGAATCTCAGCCACTCTTGGGGTCAACACCTGCAGACTGGTTGCTGGAACACGCTTTTGGGGAGTCGAAGCCACGGCTGCCCCGCATTGCGCCCAAGGACTGAGAGAGCTTGCACGCCAAGGCGCCGGGTGAGCTATGGTTCCTTGAGCGCCCCAAAAGACTCTTTGGTGCATTTTGCCAAGGGATGTTAGGACTGAATCACTTTTTGCCAACTAATGGGTTTTCCGAATTCAACCACTAAAAGTTAAACTTTTAGCAGGGGAGCAGAAAGCAACCGAGGAATCCTTTTAGGGGATGAGAGGGTGGTCCACTGGGTACGCAAGTTCCCAAAGCCAGCAACCAAGAAGGAAGAACTACAATGGACATCTCACCTCCACGCACCGTGGCTTGCAGGTCGCCTATGTCTCCAAGCACCTCCACAACGCCCACAGCGGCTTGGAATGGTTTGATGCCTGTCAAGCTGGGCGTGTCTCGGAGTACCCCAAAAATGGATCAACATGGATCAAGGGCGTTCCTTCCTTGCCCTCCCCAACTCCCCAACTCGCTGACGTTGGCGTAGCTGCGGGGGGCGCGCACAAGGAAGTTGTTTGAAGGGCGTTTGCTTCCTCAGAGTCCTTTGCCTCGCTGCCTCATGCATACAGAACGCAAACTCCTGCCCTGAAAACCGACACCCTCAGGCAGTGGTTTGGTGTGTTATATTGTGAGCCGACTTGCGGCTTTTCAGAGTGGCAATCAGACGTATTTGTTGAGGGCCATGAAGGGTGACCACTGAAAGCCGTGGCCTTCCAACAAAAGCTCCCCCGTAGGCCCTGCCGACTTGGCTTTGACGTCTCTCGATGCTGAGGGGCTTCTTTTGTGCATGGTTCAAAAGGGAAGCCACCTACTTTGGGGAGTTCCTCATGTATTCTCACATGATTTGAGCCTCAGTATGTGCGCCAGGGATCTTGAGGTGTACCTGTTTGAACCTAGCCATTTTTCAGCGAGTCGCCCTTGCGATGTTCCAAGCCTAGCGCCAGCCTTGGTCAAACGGCAGCGTGTAGGGTTGGGCTTCGCATCTTCACCCGTTGAAAATAAGGCGGTCCATTGAGGATTTGGATCAGAAAGGCTTAGGAACTCCCTCGATATTTCTGAAATGGACCTTTGAGCTTTGAGGGGAAAGGAAATCCTACAAACCCCTTCAACCTTGAGGATGTCCAACCTAGCAAGGACATTTGGGGGTTGATCAAAAGGTCCTTTACATGGGATGACTATTGGGGGAAACCCCACTAAAAACACGATGTGTCCGACTAAATGGGCAAACATTACTCATAGTCATTTGGGGGCCCTAAATGGAAAATTGATCAACCTCCGTTGGTGTTTTTTTTCATTTGTTCACTTAATGAAGAACCTTTTTAAACAAATCTTCTGAACTCGAGGCTGGGGCACCCGGCCTCCCAACGATCCAACGATCCGAGCCGCAGAGATTCGAGATTTGAGGCTTTGGCTTCGCCTGGAAAGACGAGGAGTGGCAAGCAGTTGGCGGAGTTGCCCTCGTTTGGTGAGTTCTCATGGGTTCAACGGAAACCTGAAACCGGGGAACGTGGAAATGGATCTTCCCCTTTTTGTGTGGGTTTGAGGCCCACTATGGCTAAAGGTTGGGTCTGCAGACTTGTTCGGGTGGACTCCCCTCTACCCTTCACTAACCATACTAACCTAACAAAGTGCCTTTTTGTCCAATGGTCAGTGGAGGTTCGGGTGCAACACTTTTGCAAAAAGGATTCCTGGCCTGTCTATGTTGGCTTCCCTGAAATCCCACGGTTCAAGCTTGTTGGGACTTGGGGACGCTCTCAAGGAAGTCCAAAAAGGTTGAACTTGTGATTTCCTAGGTTCTGGAGGAGTAACAGTTTGATTCGAGCCCCTCAACATGGTTTTTCGCGTCTTCCTCATTGATTTGCTTTACGTTGGCGTTGCATGTTTCCCAGTTGGTGTTGGACGCAATTGCTTAATGTATGCTTTGTTTTGTAATGCAGCCCTTGGAACGGCGAACCTGAGCTCGAGCCTTGCAAAGGCGTGACCAAGCCGGGCAAGGCATGCAGGACAGTCAGCCTAAAAAAGTTCCCTTCAAAACCGACCAAAAGGGGGTTCGCCAAAAAACGGCGCCACATAGCATCCTGACGTTGAAAGGTGCCATGCAAAGTCAAGCAACCGAGGCATCATGAATATTGGCTCAGGCTCCAGATTATTGCAAGCACCCTTGGCTGTTCAAAGGCAAGCCGTTGTTCTGGGCTATGAAAGGAGTCCCGTGTGTAGTGACTGCCCACTAGGGATGGAATCAAGGATTGGCCAGCCCGTATTTTGTACAGCCCAGACATTTGACACTTCCCACGCAAGGCTCAGGGACAAGCATGCACGGCTCTGCAAGTCATTAGGGAAATGTTGCCACGCTGCTGGGCTTGGGTCTTTAAGATTGACTGTTTTTTGAACATTTGCGGTCAGAACAAACAAAAGCCGAGCAACAGGCAAGCAAGTGACTTCCGCACCAAAAATGAGTTCCAACCTCACAGATAATACTTCAAGTATTTTGCTACCTTTCGGGTCACTGGTGGATAGATCGCTCGAGACATTGGCCACGCACTCCTCGGGGGGGTGGCTGCTCCTGGCTAAGCGGAGGAAAGGTCACTGGTGGCAACTGGGGAACTTCCGTTCGGCCTCCATCACTGCAGCCAGATAGCTAGGAGGTGAAAGGCAAGCGCCGCAGTGTCCGATGCCATGTTTGGCGGGTTTCCGTTATCAAAAAATCTGCAAGGAAGGGTACATCCACAGATTTGACATGGGTGAGTTCCTGATATTTTCCCTGAAGAGCATGGCGAAACTGTCGAGTGCAGGACACGCCAAGATGCCGGTCGGCGCGTTTGCGTTTGCCACTCGCAACAGCCGCTCAATTGCAACATGCTGATTCAGGCTTGATTGATTAGCTCCATCTTCCCAAAACCATTTGTTTGCTTCCAGTTGGTTGGGTGTCTAACCTTGTTTTTATCATTCTCGCAATATGCTCATGACTTGTGAGCTTGCCATATGCTCATGGCCACATCAAGTGAAGGCTTGGGCACTGTCCCTGCCAGAAATCGAAGCAGCGAGTTTGGGTAGGCCGTGCGCAGGGGTTTGCTGTCTTTTTTGGTTGCTCATGGCTTCATGTCCGGACCTTTTTCGGATGAAAATAAAATCCACTTCGCGGCGGTTGGGATGGATGAGACCCTATGAGTACTGGGGACAACCAGCCACCAACTGGTGCGAAGAGGACTTTGATGCACGGTGTTGTGCTTGGCGGAGCAGGTGGCTCAGTATCCTAACGCCTCAGGCTCCAGCTGGTGCTCGATGATCCAGGCTCCTGCAGGCGAATGGGACGTGGCATGGGCCTCATTTTGGTTCAAAGGGCAGCATTCCTTGGAACGTGGACCGGAGCACACTCACTCCCCGATTTCCTTGACATTAGACTTGTTGGGAAGACCAGTTTTGGTAAATATACAGCTTCGGCCTTTATGGGCCGGTCCTCAGGAAGTGAAAACAGGGTCGTTGGAACTGAGGATATGTTTGGCCGAGCTTTACCTTGCAAAGGTGTTACAGTTTGCGACTTCACCCATGATGTTGTAGACTCAGTTCGTGCAGAATGTTTGCAGACGGTTTCACTTCAAGGGCCCCAGGCTTCCCCGAAAGGAACATAAGTCGCAGTCCCATACCCATGACTTAGTCGGCACGCGTTCTGGAAACCAGGAAGCCTTCGATGTCTGGTCTTTTTTTCTCGGCCAGGATCGCCTTTCTTTAGGGTTTCACCCAAATTGCGGACCCCCTTTAGAGTCGCTGTTAGAAGGATACCAAGGACAAGCCCTTCAGTTGAAAAAGGGAAGTTGAGTTTTGGAACCACCCCACGTTTTGCAAAAAACAAAACATTCCCCACGAAGCCCCGGCATCGGTGAAAGGGACCAAAGCGCTCGTTTGCAGACATCTCGTTTATGGAGAGCAGCCCTTTTAGGGCTCAAGTTGATGATTTGCAGAGGAAGGATCCCGTAGGAGGAATTAGGAGAACCAGCTGAGCGCGCGCCTATCTGTGACACCCAAAAGGGTAAGGTTTCCTATTGTCGCTTTTGCAGCCGCGAACAAGGTACGCTCAAGGCAGAGACCCTACAGAAACCCTTCATGGTCCTGTTGGGTTTCTAATATTGTGCACTCACCCTTTTTTTCGTTTTTCAAGGATACGGGAAAAGGAAACCATCCCATTTTGGTGCTCACCCCTCCGCATTCACGAGCGGAATCCCCCTCAAACTTGAATCAATTCCCTTTAAGCGGACCGCTGATTGTTATGGTCATGCGGATACAGTAAATCCGGATCTTGGTGGTTCCCAGCCATCTTTTTGGGTTTTGTGTTTTTTGGTTGGTTTAGTGGGGGCTTCCATTCAACCCACTCAAAGTCAAACTCTTACCAGGAAATCTGAGAAACACCAACAAATTCACAGATTGGCTTTGGACGTCATTGGCATTTTGTTCGAGAAGGCTTTAGGTTTCAATGCCGCGAAGTGCATGTGGGGTTCCCTTAAACAATTCGCTCCGGGCCAACGATCCCAAGAACTTCCCCGACCGGGCGGAATTCATGGCCCGAGGCTGGGGAATCGGCCTGTCTCCAAGCCACAGCACTCCTCCCCAAACAAAAAGCACATCGATTTCTTCGGCTGAACCGCAAAAAGACGACCTTGTCTCAAAAACCTGAGCCGTTGCTGGCCAAAGGTTACCCAAACATGGTTACCCTCCAAAACAGGTTCAACCGACCCCTTCTGTTACCGAGGTGTTCTTGCTCCAAAATGTGCTACCCTCAAAACTAACAAAAAGATGAGTTGGCAAGGGGCTACCCAAGGGTTGCCAAAACCAACAATTCCGTCCAAACAGTTTCGACGACGGGGGGTTTGAGTGACCCATTCAGACCTTCGGAACTTTGCGCCAGGCCGGGGGTGCCCTTCTCCCGCCCAGAGCTCTTCGCCTGGGCGGCGCAGTGCGCCGCCGGCGCCGGGGGCCCCAGTTGGCGGGCCGGGGTCTCCGGGGAGACCGCAAAGGGCGGAGGGCGGGGTGGATGCGTGTCGTCGTTTTTTAGGGGTACCCGCCCAAACACATGGCTTCGGTGTTCCTCTTGGTGTCCCTTTCAAACCGCCAAAAAAAGGGTACGAACTCCAAAACAAAAAGGAATCAGCCAGCTGGAATGAATCTTCCAAGCAGCTTATACAAGCCATTGAATAGTGGTTGATGGCTCAGTGCAACTGCCTTGGTGGATATTTGGAATGGCTGGGCTTCTAAGCATATACAAGAACCCAGTGGTTGATCAAGTCTTAAACTAAGAGATCCCCATCAGGAATCCCTCGAGTTTTCGTTGACTCGACCGGAAGGGGACCATGGACTTGGCGCGAGAAAGTAACAAATGCTTGGTCAGCAAGGAGTCAATCGGCGTTTTGAGAATCGCATTTGGGATCCCCTACCGCTAAGTCCTTTTTGAGATTCATTCATGTTCCCACTTTCGAACCGCAAGATCCGTGCTTTTGTTCAGTGAGTCTAGATGTGGCCAAGAATGCATTTTGTCAGTGTTCAAAAATAACATGCACTATCTTGTTTGGAGGATCTCCTGGCGAATTTAGGTCGTTTGGGGCGAAACCCGGTTGGACAAGGGGGGAAACCACCACATGGCAACTATTGTGTTTTGTTGTTTGTTTACCCTTCCTCCCATGAACATGGCTCCTGCAAGAGGGCCTTTGACCAAGCTCCAAATCGCGGGTGACTTAAATGCACCCCACCCCACCCCACCCCACCCCACCGGTGGGGCTCTGCTATTTCAGGGCAGCTCCAACTGTTGGCAAGGGATAATGCCAACCATAAATGGTTGCATTCGCCGCCTGTTTGGGTCTTTGCAGGGTTCTGACCATTTGAAATCCGATCGGTTTTGATTACGACTCAGGTTCCCAAAGCTTGCCTTGGTTTCAAAAAGGAACTGAAAGAAGCAACCCAAAAGGGGCACCCTCTATCAGCTTCCCTCTACTTGGGCTTGGTGACCGGTATTCCGGTTGGCTTCCTATTTACCATTGACTGGGGTCATGATTTTGATTGTTTCTAGGGGTTGTCAAAGTCAGAAAATGGGGTTGTTTCCCTTTAACCCCTTTTGGAGTGACTTTGATCATGGGAACATAATAAGACCAAATTGAATTCTTGAATCCCAGGCCATGCGAAAGGAGGACGAAGAGATGAAGCAGCGCGCGCTGCAAGAGATGGCGGCGGAGACTTGGACTCTCATCGCGGGGGTTTTGCACGGGGATGACCTATGCGAATGAGCCAATGGGCCATGCCAATGTGAATGTATGGAAATACCCTTGAAAAATGGGTTGAGCATTTGAAGGAAAACAGATCGGCTTTTCAACAATTGGCATTTATTTTTTCGTGGCTCGTCGCTTTGCACGCCCGATGAGTGTGTCTCAAAGGAACTGGCACCTCAAGATGGCAACGGCTTCTTGTTGGTTTCATTTTAAACCAAGGTGAAAAGGGTACCCAACAAAATCAAAACGATCTTTCCGGAACTGTTGAATGTTTTCCGTGGAAGCTCAGAAAGGTGATCGAAGAGTAGCTCATCCGGGAAGGAACCGAGTCTTGTCTAAGAGGTCTTTCACTGCCCCCTTTTGCTTTAAGGTGGGTTTCCTTTGGCTGTCAGCGTGTGCTACAAGGGGGAATATAGGCCAGCATGTTCCTTTGAGATTCGGCCAACAGGAAGGCCCTTGTGTCCTTGCTTGGTCCTCGGTCTTTGGCTGCTAGTGGGTTTGGGGCATGCGTTTGGGGAATTTGGCATTGCAAGGAACGCGCCAACATCAAGAACATGAGCAACGATGCGCTGGTGAAGGAGAAACGCCATGCATGAAGCTGCTTGCTGACCAAGCTGCCTAGCGAAAACCAAAGAGCTCGCGGATTTGCTGCAGGCGATCCCCTCCGCTACGCTTCTCCCCTTTCCATCTCCGGTTTGAAGGGCTTAAAGGAGATGGGCCGGGCAGCCAAGAAGAAGGTGTTGAAGGGGACGGTCAAAAAGTCCCCAAGGTGTCGCTTGCTGGGACTTGCTCCTTGAGCCCGAGTCCTTGACCGCGAAGACAACTTTAAACTGGCGACCTAGTATCACTTAGGCTGGGACTTGTTGATCCCGCACATGAAGAGTCAAAGAGCATTTTAAACAGGCCTCAAAAGGGCAAATGGTATTGAGAGTGTGAATCCGCCTGTTTTGCAGAAACAAAAATGCGGCTTAGGGCATCATTTTTGTTCGTCTGCTGTTGGTCACGTTTTTAGATCTTGTTACTTTGAGCAAAAACAGATTGTGGGTAAGTGGGCCAAAATCAACCAGGGGCATAAGAACGACATCCTCAAAGTTGCCCTCTAAACTTGGGTTGAAGGAAACCACCCCAAGTTTTCGTAGGGTATTACGGGGTAGGTTCCGCAACAGTCCTCCAGATGGGCTCCTCCCCAAGTAATTCTTAAGAACCCCTCAAAATGGGGAAGGGGTATGTTGCTTGTGGGCAGCCTTTTCAGGTTGCTTCAAAACAGGACTCCAAAAGGAAGCCAGCATCTTGGGCCCCTGATTTTCACATACTCCAAATCCACCCACCTGTAGAAAGGCCCGCCGATTCGCCGCCTCGATGCGAAAATCGGAAGGAGGTGGCAAAGCCCCGGAGCCTTTTGGAGTTGGATCGGGAGATCGGGCGGTACCGCAGGCCAGGGCCCCAAGCGAGTTTTTCCGGCGGCCTTCCCTTTGGAGCGAACCAAAACCGGGCCTCCCGTCATGAAAAACAAAAAGTAGGCACATGTATGTGTGCATAGTGTACATACACATACACATAATGTTTGTCTCCAGGACCTTGTCCACATCATTTACACGTTTTACATCACTTCTGTAGATGAGCTGATTGCACCTTGCGGGCATGGTGGCAAGATCAGCGATGCCACCTAAGATAAGGATCCATTTCTTGGAATAAATACACGTTTGCCTGGTGAAGTACAGCCTTTTGCAGTTCGGTGCAGGTGAACAAGTTGCATTACAAAGAAAACAAATCCCTTTATTACTACACACACAAAACTATGCATTAACAAGTTGTCATTTGCTCATGTGTGTGTGTGTGTGTTTTGTTTTTATGTGTTTCTAATATATATTTCTTGCTGTGCTTGCCTTAGCTGTCTCAGTTGCTGTCTCCGCTTCGCTCCTCGGAGTTCGTCAGGTTGGCCAGCTTCCGGTGAGCGCCAGGTGAGCGCCAGGTGCGTCGAATCGGCGACGTCGAGGGCCCAAGCCGATGCCCAACCGATACCCAGTCGCCAGTTTCAAGGTTATTTGTTGGCCTGGTCAAAAGTTTCACGGATCCAAGCCGACTAGGGGGAAACTGAACAGTTTTTGGGAGGGTGCGTTGAAAGGGATCCTGTGAAAACGCTAGTAGCCGATGCTAGGTCGGGCATATTCCTTTGAGGGCATGTACCGCTCCCTGTGTGCCCCCATGATCGGTGTAGGAACGACTTGCTTCCAACCCGAAATGGCCCCATGTAGGGAATGGAATGTGGAAGCTAGCCGGTTCTGATACTACTCGCCGTTTTCTTGGCGAGCTCATCTCGGGGGAAAAAAGGAGCTCACCACGATGCAGGTCCTTCAGCAGCATTCCTAGCTTCAGGTCATGGAGTTCGCAGATACTGTGTTGTCCAAAAGGGCTTGGTTCACTTCCTGAGTTGCTGGATACCTTTTGGGAAGGCCAAAGTGGTACGACACAACTTTTTGGCCAACCCACTCAGGAAAAGTTCCACTAAGTTGACTCCCGTGGTACACGGAGCCCTTGCAAACCGCCGATGACACGCTGGCACTGAAAGCCTTCGATGAACATGACTCAAGGGGAAGAATGACGTGCCCTGAGCAGGTGCCCCCAATGCAACTTATGTAATCTCATATGTCTCTTACTCCATGACAGGACTCCAAAAATATCAGCACCCCAAGTTGCATAGGAAGTACCTCGCGGGCACGTGATCGTTCCCTTTGAAGGACTCGTTTCAGAACACGCAGTGGTGCCTGTGTATCATAGGCTCAGTTGTCCAAAGCGACCCTTGCATGTGTTGGTCATGTTTTCATGCTTTGCCCATATGGACATGTGTTTGTTCATATTTTTCACGAACACAAACATGTGCAATTGTGCTTATGCAATAGCACATGTTGACCACACGTTGGGTGTCCAGCGCGTTGCGGCAATGTTGAGAAACTGAGCACCTAGGATTTGCAGGTTCCTTGGACACCTGAGTGACATCGTTTGAGGCCATTGCTCTCCTGCAGGTTAACATGGAACCCAGGAAGCTGGCATTCTTAGACTCACTTCCCGAGTTCCTGGATTTGAAACTTTTTGGGAAGGCCATTTTGGTGGTAAACAAACAGGTTGGACCTTTGTTGGCCAATCCACTCAGGAAATGAGTAGATCAAAGTCCTTTTTGAGGTGCCCCTTTTTGGTTGGGTTCCATGTTGACTTGCAGGGGGAGCAGTGGTATGCCCAGCGGCGGCAAAAAAGTGCGAGATCGATCAGCAGCTGTTGACGAGTGGCCTTGTGTTTTTCTCCGAAGTGATGGGCCATTGGAAGCATGCCTGGGTCTTCAAAAAGGTGGCTGCATGAGATGTTTTTGGCGCTATGCTCAACTTTCAGGCAAGGTCCGGCAAAAGATCCCACTGCCGCAGCGCTCCGGCTCGAAGTCGGCGAATTCGAGATTTTGAGTTGCGGTGATGCTGAAATTCCTGAGGCGGGAGCAGGGCGCCCCAAGCGCATGCCTAAGGGGTCGGCACAGGGATTTAAGGGGAGGCAGCCTCACAGACTTCCTACATTTCGGTTAGTCAGGCCTGCATGCACCAAGTTCCAGATTGGGAGGTCACACCAGCGCCAGCCAAGCATTGCCAAATGGGAAGGTAAGCTGGTGAAATGCAATAAAAACATCGAACAAGTCAAGAAGGGGACAGACCCAACCAGGAATTGTTGCGGCTCCTCTTTTCAACGGTTTACGCGGGTTTGGGTGGACTCTGTTGAAAAATCACGCTTTGGTAGTGAGTCAATCGAACATTTGTAGGATGTTGTAAGAGTTCCAGGATTTCAGGTTTCAGGTAGGTTCCCCTCTCGTTGGGCTCTTGTAAGAGCTTTGTACAATGACCAGGACATGGAGGAGGGGGAGGTGTTAGGCATGGCCAGACCCCACAGGAAATTTGATCCTCAAATCATGTTCGGAGTGCTGCTTGTTGGTGTGGTGTGCAACCAGGATCCAAATTTAGAGATGGAGGCCAGATGCAACACTGACTCGGAGCTATACATCAATGGGAAGCGTGTCCTGTTAACAGACAGGATGCTTCACTTTCAGGGTGAAACACCCCCTAAAAGATAATTCCACCAGGTTGATTAATTTGGGATCAGCATTGATCGTGGAGATGCACCTTGATTGAATGCTAGAAATTGTGTGCCTTGCAGCCTTTACTTCCCAGTGATCTAGCAGAGGCCTTTGCATTTTGCGCGCGCCATGCTGCACATCTTCCTGCTATCCTTTGTTGCGGCGACAGCGAACGGACAGAGCGGACTGCAGGTGAAGAGGATCATTGAGATCAACCAGACGAACACCACAGATTCCGACCTGGAGCCTGACCCCATGTACGACTACTACGAAGACTTGATGAACACCAGCTACGAAAGTGCTGGGCTGGAGAGGCGTGGTGGCTGGGGTGTTGGAGGTGACAAGCTTTGGGGCAATGGCCGTGGCGTGGAGGATATCAACAGCGGCAACGTGGGCTACTACAACGCGGGCATGCGGAGTGCTCGGAACCGCTGTGGAGGCTCCAGCTGCGCGTTGATTGTGAACCCCCCAGGACACCGCAGCATCGACAAGTTCCACATCCACTTTGTGCACCTCACTTGCCCAAATCGAATCAACCTTTCGAACATTTTAGTGTCTCCCGTTTGGCCCATTCTTAGTGCCCCAGAAAGGTTCATCTTTGATGTCTTTTCCTGTCTTGGCCCATTTTTAGTTGCCCCAAAAGGTTAGCCAACCTGCCTGGAGGTCCCTTTCTGTTGAATTTCTGGGCCCCTAAAGGGACAAGTGAGGCACTATCATTCCTACGGATCCAGCCTCAAGCACCGCCTGGAGAAGAAAGTCTGCGGCCGCAGTGGCTGGCAACGTGGGCACCTGCCGTGCCATGGCAAGGCAGGGTCCAAATCGGCTTCGACCACCAGACCCTGGTACTTCGAAGAATCAAAAGGGGGTTGGCTAAACCAGTGGTGTTGAAACTATGTTTTCTAAAAGGCTTGGGCTAACCAACTCAAGCGTTTGACCTTTTGGTTTTCGCATGTTGGTCGATTTTTAGTGGCCCCAAAACGGGTACCCTTGGATTGTTGGGTCCCGAAAGGCCCATTGAAGCATTAGTGCCGCGCGCCCCCCAAACGCATCAGCAACGGGTTCCAATTTGGTTGCAGGAGCCGACTTTGTTTGCGTTTGCCGTCCAACCGTAGCAACCCTTGCTAAATGATCAGGCTCCTCATGCCCAAAGACCAGAACAAAAAAGAGGCCTTTCGAATAGATCGATTTTCCGGCAGGCACTTCCACTCGGCGCAAACCAACAAGAGTGTTTGCACATGCCTGTCAGAACAGAGCGTCACAAAGCAGAAAGTCTGACTAATTTATGGCAAGCTCACCTGGCATAACAGGCTCTGACTGAATGGCCACTGAGCCAACCCCAACCCCAACCCCACCACCCCTCACCCCAAAAAACCCCACCCCTCACCCCAAAAATCCCCACCCCCTACCCTCCCCCCAGGCCATTTTCTCCTCCGGCTTCCCCAACGTCTTCAGCCTGGCGATGTCTGGCGGCGGCCTACGCCATGCCTCCGTCATCGCTTGGCCGGCGTCGTGCGGCGGCAAGGGCACCATCGTGCAACTGGCCTACGGATGCTTGGCCAACGCTTGAAGGGCGGTTGGTTTGGGGGGGTTGGTTTGGGTTTGTGGGTTGGTTCTTTGGATTTGCGGAAAGTGTGGTTTTTGGGTTGGGTTTGAGGTTGCCAACATGTTGGCACGTTGATTGGGTCGGCCAAAAGGGAGACCTGCCATTTGGGGGATCACCAACATTTGTCGATACGGGTGTGGGTTTTTGAGGGTACCTCTTTTTGGGGTTGAATGAAAGGAAAACCAAAGGGGGGAAAACATGGCTTTGTGTGTTCTTTTGAGTTGGGGGGGGGTTGACCCTATGTGCATGTTGATACATACCCAATACGGGCGAGCCTTTTTTGGGCACCCTTTCTGGAGTGGTTTCCCAGGCAAACTGCAGGGAAATCCGGCAATAGACACTTGATGCCCCATTCAGAGACCCTTGCCCCTGACTGAAATGAGGAACAAACAAAAGATGTGGATTGACCAAGGATGCTCCATCGAGCACCAGATCCGGGGCGACTACAACCCTGCACTGCGCTAAGGAGACACGGTTGCCCAGTGGCACTGTGTTCCCTATTTGGGGAGGGGTCAACCAGCAAAATAAAGGCATCTTTCTTTCACATTGAAGTGCACCGGGCTTCGAAGGAGCGCGGGTAAAATGGCTTCGAAGAAAGCCGCAGCAAGATCTGAGGAAATCGTCGGCACTAATTACGCCACGGCGACATACGATCGCCACAATGGCACTCGCAACGTGTAAAGTTAATTGGACATATTCCGGGTCCGCAGGGGTGGACCGTGGCTGTCTGGGTTGTTCAAGATCATGTCCTTAATCCTGCCGCATGGTGGTTTCCCTTGTTGTCGTGACCCCCTTTTGAACAACCCCGGCTGTTGACGCAAAAGCGCGTTTTCCCAACTGTTTGGCTATTTGAGCGGCGATTTTGAGCATCGGCCCGCGGGGTCCGGGTTTTTGCTCCAGGATCCCAGCTGGGCCTTCCTCTTAGCCCCCGATTCCAGTGAAGCCGGGCAAAAAGATGGTTTCCGTCCTTTCCACTGGTTGCTGCTTTTTTCAAGTTTTACATGTATCTCATGTCGCCCTTGTGGCTGCCCTACCCATCCTTTGTGAGGCAAGCCCATTGCGTATGACGATCTCAAATCAGAGTCTTCGAAGGTGGCCGTGTTGCACTTTCCCGCGCTTGGGTGTTCAACAAGCCGACCAAAGGACATCGCCAAATGAAGATCCCAAACCCCTGGTTCAGGTCGAGAAGCACCGTCATACACCGTAAATAACAAATTTGTAGATTTATCTACATTTACATATCTGAATCTATATATAACAGTTTAGGTCAAGTTATTTTTATTGTTTGGTTTTTGGTATGATTGATATATATATATATATAGATTTTTTTTTTTTTTTTTATTTGTAATTTATATAAAAATAATATAATTTTGAATTATTTAATTTATTTTCATGCTTTAAGAAATATAGATTTAATATAATTCTAAATAATAATTGAATAATAATAAAATAAAAAATAATTATTAAAATAATTGAAATATAATAATAGGATTTACATATTATTAGTTGTTATATGAATAATTTGATATGTTGATATAGATAAAAAAAAATAATAATATTGATGTATTTGGAATAAAATATTTGATGATGATTGAAATATATAAATAGAGAAAATTAAAAGAACTTAAATTATATAAAGTATATATTTGGATATATTAATAAATTGAAACTAATAATATAATATATAATTGTTTATTAAAATATAAGTATTATGAAAAAACTAATAAAACAATATAATAATGTTAATATTAAATAGATGATTATTATTGGATTATGAAATAATGATATATAATAATAAAGAATAATATTGATATTGTTTAATAATATATTGGATTTTATTTTTTAGAATAATTATAATATATTTAAATAGGATGGATATTAAGATTTACCATATTTTAATTATATATGATGTAATTTTATTATTACATTTAGATTTTATTTGCGTTTTTGTTGGATGGTTTTAGAATTGGGGTTGGTTTAATTACATTTGGTTTTTACGAACTCCTTTTTTGGAATTATATTTTGGATCCAAAAATATATATATAAATATAATTAATTCGTTATTAGATAATAATGAAATTGCGTTATAAATAATTATGGTTTTGCTGATTGGTTTTTTGGAATTAAGATAATTTTTATGTTTTTGTAATATATTTTGAAATATTATTAATATTTGTTTATATAAATGGATTAATAAAAATGGATTGGAGAAAGATAGCCTGCTTTATATGAGGCATTATATTTTTTAAATAATTTTACTATATATATTTATATTTTTTTGTTGTTTTAATATGAATGGGGTCTGGAGATATTTCGATATTATATTTTTAAATATTCTTAAAAAAAATTATAAGGGAGGGTTTCCTTAGATTTGGTTTTAAATATATTTAAGGTTAATTTAGATTTTTTATATATTTTATATTATATAATTGATATTGATATTCTTTATTAAATTTAAATTACAATTATTTTATTAATTAAAATATATAGGAAATTGTTATATTAATTATAGGACCTATAAAGGAGGAGCGAGATATAAAAAAATAAAATTGATTAATAATTAAATCTATTAAAATTCTATTAAACCTTAATAAGGTGCTTATTAAGGCATAATAAAGCTTAATGAGGTGGTGATCTATCTTCTATCGGACTAATTAAATTCCCCTTCGTTCGAAAATTTGCATAGAAATACGTTTTCCACCTTTTATTATGCCTCTGATTTCTGGAAAAAAAAACCCAAAAAAAATGGATTTTTCAATAATATAATATAGAAATTAGATTTTTAAAATATATTTTATAATTCGATTTATTTCTATAATTCTTTACTATTATATAATATATTAAATCATTATTCATTCCTATCCATATAAATTCCGGCGTTATTTTTTATAATATATTCAATTCTAAAAAAAAACATAAAATTATCCTAAATATGTCTTAAAATTAGTAGTTGTTTTTTAAATTAATTAATTCCTAAATATATTCCAAAAAATATAATAATTATATTTTATAAAATATTAATAAATAATCTATCGAATCAATTCTAATAAATGGGTATATATCAATATTCTAATATAAAATATTCAATAATAATATAAATATTTAAATTAACCCAATTATTCAAAATAAATTATTCAAATGGGAACGGGGCTCAATCCTTGCCTCGTGATCGGGGTCTAGCCCAACACAAAAGGATTAACAATCTATAATATAATAGGTAATTCAGCCGAAATCTTCAAATCGAAATGCTTCAGAATATTAATCATAAAACAGAGTCGGGAAATAGAATCTCGCCCACCCATAACCCAGCGTCATTTTAAGCACGGAGATTATATCACCCCATTCCGAAAACGAGGCCCAAATCAAACATACAAAAAGGTCGAAAATCTCGATCCAAAAAACATCAATTCCTCGTAGCTCAAAGAAAAACAACTCCACTAAACACAAACTAAAAGAAATAGTCGAAAAGGACACCGCCATACATCAGAAGTAATCGAAACACTCATCGAAAGCAATAGACAAAGTCAAACAAACCAACTCATCATCATTAGAATACATCTCCAAAATCACTTATTTATGCGGCCAAACGCCGCCTCCCAATGTCTTTTATATACCAAAGGATAATTTCTCTGCAATTCAAATAAAATTCGGATTTTAAATTGGGTCCATATAGTTCTAAGACACAAAACACGTTTTTCATCCACCATGCGAGCAAAAGACCGAAAGAATCGTTTTCCCTCGATATCCAATCCACCCGTACTTTCCCAAACCAGAAACTCATAACCAATATTTAAGCCACACATCGACTCCGCAAATCATCATAAGTGCGTTTATGTTCGGCATCAATGTTTCCTATGCCGCCACCCCCAAGATATGAGATTAGAAAAGAGATGTAATCGCTATATCCAAGGCCAACCGCGAAAAACGACGCCAAGACGATTAAAGGATTTGCGGGACTCCCATCACCAAAACATCCACAGGTCTTATCCGAGAATCAATGGGTAACAGAATCATAGGCTCCAACGAGGGTCGTACACCAGCCTACAAGGCTAAAACAAACACAACATTCTTCAAAATGGTCACCAACGCTGTATTTCGATATATTGTTTTTATATAATTAGGAGTTCCATATTTTAAACCAGGAGAAATATATTCTTTTTGTTACTAAAATTTGGATATTTTCGGATATTATATAATCACCTTAGAGTAAATAATTGCCAACAAAGTAATTTGTTATATCTCCATTCTCGGATCCTACAGACCAGGGGCGTCACGAAGCAAGCAATACATAACATGCTAAAGGGCCTAAGCTTCATACCCAGTATCAATTTGGATAGGAAAAGCAAGATAAAAATCCAAAATAATTTGTAAATATTTATGCTTTAACGCCATGTAAGCAAAATCCGCTAAATAAACGTTCTCCAAGCCGATTTCGGCTCGTAGACTAAGAAGTCCAAATCCCCCTTGCTTAGTAAGCAATTTGGCTTACGACCACTGGGTTCGAATCAAAACAATGCCAAGACATAATTTCAAACATCTCTTCATTCGATTATAGAAGAAATCCAAACATGGTCCAATCAACGATCGAGGAGTAGTACGACACAAATTTTACATCTTGTTAAAAGCAGTACTACTCTGCATAAAATAGAATGTTATTGTATGTCCTAATCATATATCTTCCATTCTTTTAACTTCCCCTTCATATCCCTATCCTTTTCTTCATTTTCCATATATGTGGCCTTTTATTTTCCATATCCCTTTCAATTCCCCTTATTTCCCTTTCATTTCTTTTAGCTCTCCTATCATGTTGGCTTCCTATTTCCTCCCCGTATTTCCTTACACTTCTATACATTTTCTCTTTGCTCCCCAACACTAAGAGCTCCAATCTGCGTGAAAATATTAGGCGACGACTCTACCCACCCCTCTTTATCTTTGCGCGGTCTGAGGGTGCTCTTGACTTGAAAAGAAGCCTAACTGCGGTCGTCAGACTCTCGAACTGCTCACGAACTCCTACCAGCCCACCTGCCTAGCGGAGCTGCCTGCTCCAGCAGAGCCTAACCCAATAAACAAGCACTTGACGGAAACCCACCTCCCGCAACCTCACTGCATCCAGCACGGCAGGAGCCTCAGCGACAAGATCCTCCCCAGCACCACTGCCTTCGCCTGCCACTTGCAACACACAAACAAGCGGAAGCCAACGCTCAATCTTCTGCTGCGACAGGGATTGCAACCACTTCAGCCGCAGCACCTGAAGCACACCAAACCTTAAAAACCAAGCGTCACGCAAACGACCTTGAGGGTGGCAAAATGCCTAAATAAGGAGGCGCACTTTGACACCTCCACCTAAAGTCCCGCGAGAAAACTACACTTTAACAACTCCACAAATTCCCAATACTTCTACGCCAACTAAGAACGCGCATACGCGAGCACGCCGCTTCTTCATATGCTTCCCCTGCTTCGTAAGCTCCTTGTTGTCGGCTCGTATCTGAGCGCGGCAACGCTTGAGCGCTACCAGTATCTGCCAGCACTTGCGCGTCACAGCCGCTACCTAACTCTCAACACCCATGCAACGCCTCTGGCGGATTGCACTTTGGAGCCATAACCACCTGCACGCAGAGCATGCGAAATTAGCTTGTAGCAAGCAGCGTGCAACCCCGCGCCCCTTAATTTCAAACTTGCACTGCTGGCAGCTCGCTTCAACTACAACTAGGTACGGTAAGACTTGGAGCTAAACAATTACGCCGTCGAGA